AAAAAGTTTGTCAGTAGAAGTCACGCAGAATAATAATAAAAATCAATGAGAAGTATACTCCTGAATTGAAAATTTGTAGATTTATTGAATTGTTTATATATATGGAATGGCCCGTATCCCAAAAAACTCAACTGATGAATCTACATAATAATAACATAGTACATCATTTTTCGCAAATATAAAATCGGATAATAAATGATAACGAAACGAAATCAGCCCAAGCGAGTAGAAAGAGCGACGACGATCATTGAAAACAAAGTGCGAACACGTATTCCGATCCCTTGGCAGAAGATACGTAGAGAGAGGAACGGAAGGATAGCCCGTCGCATAAAACGAGAGCTCACGCGCTAGAGGATCCGCAAGCGCGCGAGCAAGCGCTTAGGAAAAAAAAGGAGGGGACGAAAGAGGCAGGAAACGGCTCCTAATAAAACGACATAACGTCAACCGTAATTCTTTTTCCGATTTCAATCAGAGCGCGCGCAACGCGAGTTTCTCTCTTCCTCTCTCTTTCCCTTTGAAGAAAAAACATCAACCCTTATACCTTTTTTCGTCTGTGTGTGTTTGTACTGTAGGGAATGTATATCGACTTTCCGGCTGATTTATGCTGGTGTCAAATCACTTGAAAAGTCTGGAACAATAGACGTCGTCGTTGGAGAGAGGCGTCGAACGAAAGCAAAATAAATCCGTCAAGGAGTATTTATAGTCGGATGTAGTAATCCCTTGTTGTATAGTTGCCGCTATAGACTTTATATCCACGGCAGCCGTTACGAGCCGCGTCTCGTTAAACTGCTCTCCCCCCCCCCTCTCTCTCTCTCTCTCTCTCTCTCTTTCTTATCCACTTTTTCCAATGCCTTGATTGTATAATACTTCAATTGTATAAAACTAATAATAAACTCACTACACTCCAATATCAGTATTTTCACTGATGGTATTATAATATACAAAAATTATAGAGATAGTAAATAACGTATCATGTCGAAGTAACTGACTAATCTATTACCTAACTAAACATTAAGTTTCTCGTGTCATCCACATCACTTCAGCTATAATATTCAATTGTGTCGAGCTGAGCGTCGCAATAGAATTGAAGGACACATAGATGTGAAGTAGATATACATCTTAAGCTTTAGAAATTAACTTGCAAAACTTTTAAAATTTAGTTCTCTCTCTTTCTCTCTCTTTCCAAAGAGTAGCAGTTTCTCAGTTTGCAAAATGTTCACTGGAGCTATCTAGCTAGATATTTGAAATCTAGCAGTTTGGCTTGAAATTGTTGGTCTGTGTAAGTAATCGACAGGATTGTTACAATTCACTAATAGAACTTTGATACCGATTGCTTTAGATTTACATATACTTCGACTCGCAGCATGTAATTATTACTGAACATTCGCGAGTTGCTGCGCCGAAGTTACTTGTAATGGACTTGGAAGTATATTTTACTGGATGCACACGCTACGTTTTTCTAATCTTATTCAAATATTGTTGTAAATTAAGTTTTAATTTAGAAAATATCATAAATTATTACTTCTGGACTTAACACATTCACTTTCAGTGTTAAAGGATTCTTCAACTACGACTATAAACGCTGTACGTGTAAACATAATACTCTTTCAAAGTCAGTCACGTTATGCAATGGTAAATATCGATACGCAACGTTAGGGTCATGTACACATACGCACATACCACCCATATAACTAAAAATAGGCGCGAGTGTATATATATATATATAAAAGCTTCGAAATGGATTGACCATCGGAGTGCGGGGAGGTTAAAACCAAGGGCAGATAACGGAAAAATTATTCCCAGATGAAACACACTAAACGCTGCTGGTACCGAGGAGAGGAAACAACGTACCAGAGGTAATACTACGCTTCGATTATTCCTTCGTGTACTCTCAAAACAATCTAAATCTCATCTAACTTCAAGGAGAACGTAACCGAGGTGAAAGCGTGTATCGTGTGACCACCAACTAAGAACGATGTTTCAAGACTGATTGATTTGAGCTTTCGAAATGTGCGCGTCGGAGTTGTAAATCTTTGTGGAATTTTTGAAGCTAATGAAGTTTAACGATATGATAAACAAATATGAATTTCCTAGATTTATTGACGACAAAATCTTTCAAAATCAGTAGTATCACATATCGTTTTGTCAAAATTCATCGTATTTTTATAAAATCACTGTTATTAAACTAATACTGTATTAGCATTATTCAGAGTAATATGGCCTTGGATATTTCAAAAAGCAAAATATATCCATATAAAAAGGAAAGTTATTTTGAATTTCCATGTAATAATTAGGTAAGTAAAATTTCATTAAGAGATAGTTGACAAGGCTATTTGGTTTAAGCTTTAGCTAAGAAAGAAAGAGATAGGGGCGGGAGAAAGAGAGAGAAAGAGAAAGAGAGAGAGAGCAATGTACATCTTCAACCGTTGTCCAAAGTACAGATTGCATCGAGTAAGCGATATTCATTTCCCAAGAGCTTATCCGGCTTAGAGTGAATGTCACTTGGGTCAGTCTCTGAAAGCACGTTAATATTTTGCAAGTAGCCGGCAATCCATAACTAGCCTTGTTCAAATTTAACGCTATGCAATCGACCCAATTCTATTCCCGAAAAAATGTTTGTAAACATAATCGAAGTAGCAATGTACTGTTTGAAAAAGAAAACCTTGCGGTCCTTTTTGATAGCATCGTATCTTGGACATCGTGGGCGCTCGTCATTTTGCATTCCCCGCAGAGACTCTCACGTGGATTTCCCTCGACGGCCACCCTCTGCTGCTACCGTGTAGTCCAGGAATTTTGAGATTGCTCCGAGCGGCCGAAGCTTTCTCTCGTTTCTTTTTCTAACGGAATTGCAGCTGCTTTGTTTGCAAAAGTTGCACGCAAGCGAATCGCAACGCTTAATTGATTTTTCCTGAGCTTGGTTTCAACCATCCCATCCCCTCCTCATTTGTGGAAAACTTGCCATTGAAATTTTAATTAAAAGTTTGTTGCCCGACGCTAAATTGAGTTCACTTGCTCGAGGTCGTGTTTGACGAAAAATTACTATTAAAATAATATTAAATACTGGATATTCGTGAATCGAAAAGGGAAAAAACTAGATAATGTAGAATACTTATTTGTCTTCCGAAAAACATTAGGACGAAGACAATTATTCACAAAATAGGTCGAGCCTTAACGATCAAATGTATTCCCCCTTTAAAAACCTATAAATTAAGCACGAGCACTTCCAAGAAGTATCTTCAACTATGAATGTGCTCATAATTTATAGTCCACTCGGCTGTATTTCTCTCCCTTGATTTTGAATGTTTGAGCGAGAATCCTTAGCGCAAGCGCAACCAAGGCAAAGAAGTAAAAGAAGTCAGAAACGACAGAGAAAAAAGATGAAAAAAAACGAAGAAGAGGCACGTGCACAAAAGAGACTTTCGAAGTTTCGTGAGAGAGAGGGAGAGACGGAGAACACGCAAGAGAGCTAAGTGGAAACTCGTCATTAGCGTAGCGGAAACGGGAACTAAAGTACTCGGAACTCGGTCTGATAGGATAAAACGGACGAGAGAGAAAGAGATAGAGAAGTTGAAGACGAGAGGAGAACGGCAGGAAACGTCGCGAATGAGACGAAATTTGAGAAAGCTGGATGGAATTATAGTGGAAAAGTTGAGGAAACTAGCGGTGACTAGCTGCTACTGTCACTGCTAAGAAAAATTAATCCTTGATGGACACGAGGAGAAACGAGATTTTTTGTTAAACTTTTCAGAGTGACATAATCGAAGAAAATTATGCTAACTCACCTTGGCAAAAACAATTATTGATTTAGTTGAGTGACTTATTTTAAAAATTCTTACTTAAAAGTGAAAATTATTTATTTTACGATGAAAGTAAAAGTTGTTGGAGACTAATCGACTTGAAAAGTCAAATATTATTATCAAATTTTACCATAACTTTCAGTCCATTCATCAGGTTGTTAGATGGTCTGAAAAAGTGGAAAAGGAAAAAAGAATTTCAAGAGCAAACAAAAGGAATTAATGAACTGCAAGTCTTCACCTATTTATGACAAAATTGCTGCGTCAGAGGACAAGCGGACCAGCGCGAGAAAGAAAAAAAAACCATAAAGAGAATCCTCATGACAGCAGCTGCAGGAAAAAGCAGACAGCGCCGAAAGGATAAAAAGGGTGAGCGCGCGCAAAAGAGGGGCAAGATTTAATAAAAGATTGGACTGCGTAGCCGAGGGTGTCTTCCTCTCTCTCTCTCTCTCTCTCTCTCTCTCTCTCTCTCTCTCTCTCTCTCTCTCTCTCTCTCTCTCTCTCTCTCTCTCTCTCTCTCTCTCTTCTCTCTACGAAGGTACCAATGTCCTGTGCCTTTAATAAGATAAAGACAAAGTTCGCTATTGACGAAATCAGAAACTTCTCAAGGCCGAAGTGATGTCCATTTCCTTCTTTTTTATACTCTTTCTTTGCGGCATAAGAGAGATAAAAAGGCTCGCACATATGGAAGAAAAATCGTAACGGGACTTTACATTTCTCGCGTCGTCGAAGGAGGTGTGGCCACATGCGAATGTCGTAAAGTTTATACGGCCTCCCTGCGCCCCCACTGCAAGAAATCTCGTCGCGGCTTTATTAGGCTTTGGAAATTTTATGCCCTGAAATAATGTTCATCCGTGAGAATATTGTCGTCTCCAACCTCCCTCCCTTGCCCTACCTCTCTTTCCACCGCAGCTTTTCAAAATTACATGAATTTATGTATTACGTGTGTTATACTAGTCGACTAGTCAATTTTTAACTGCCACTTGGCCTTGATGACAAGTTTATTCAAATTAACGTAATTTTCCTTCCAAAAAAATTACAAAATTAAAAATTTTAAGCAATAATAATACAAGTGCTCTTAGTTTTGAAATGTATTCAGATCTTTCATAATTCAGTCTAAAGAAAAAATATTACACTAAAATAATTTTAAATAATAGTTATAATCAATTCATACAGCATTTATTCGATTTTCATACAGAATAATAATTAACAGACAAAACAAGTTTCACTGCACAATTTATTCTCATCGAAATCAATTGTCGACCAAAATTTTCTTTGTTCAATATAATTATTACTTTCCATTTTAATGTTTGTCGGTCCTCTAACACATAAATAATCTAGATCTTCTTTAGTTGGATCAACTTTCTTCCATTCAAACTCAAGTCCCAAACCCGGAAACCTAGAGATAGATGATCAACGATTTATTGGTCTCAGGAAATTTTCAATAAAGTGCACTTACCCATCAGTAGCTACTGAAACTACGTAATCCAATAATTTATTTCTCATAACTTGATCTTCTGATCTTTTTGAAGTATCGATGAAACCGTTATCAAATAACATATAAAAGTCATCACCATGAGATACACCTGTAAATCAAATATTCATTGTTACTAGCCGTATATAAATATACTGTTTCTATCAACCGTTACCGTAATTTGTTGTTGAGTTACTATAAAAATCACTCAAACTCGTGAAAGCCCTGTAATTGTAGTACATAAATAATACTGGACTCTTGTTTTTTGCAGCTTGTAATCTGGCAGCTTTATAAGCATTGAACTTATACAATCTATCACCAACTACATCAACAAGCTCTTTTATCGTATCTTTGCCGATGGTTTTTGATCCAAAATAATAATTTCTGATTTTGCTACTGACATTTGCATGGTCTTTCAATGGTATAGTAAAATTATAGTCTAATAAATGAGGAGCAATAGTGTTCCAATTGTTATTCAAATCGTTCAGGAGTTGATCGTCGTTAATAAAGTCTATAATAATTCAGGAGTAAAATAAACGATGCATATACAAATGAATTTGAAAGTGGGTATCATACCCGCGGCAGGATAGAGTCCATCTTCGCTACAGAAACTTGTGATCCAAGGTACATCGTAAGCATCACCACTATTGACAATATCAATAGCAGAACGATTAATGAATTGTTTATCACCAGAAGTTTCAATTACCGGACCAAAAGGTGTAAAGGGATTGTACAACCAAGGCTATTAAAATGAATATTATATTTGAAATTTACATTTGTTTGAAGAATCTGTTAACTTACCATAAATTGACTGGTGGCATTGACAACTGATCGAGCTGGTTTAGACTTGAGACATTTTATCATGTCGGAAATCTTGGTCGTGTGACAACCAAGAATGCTTGCAAGTTTTTTTGCTTTTTCTAGAGAATTTTCCGCGTGTTTACCTGGACCAAAAGCTGTTCCACTAAATGATATGCCATTTTGGAACAGTCCTTTGCTCATCGGAGATAAATAGTGATAATGTACACTGGCAGCTCCAGCACTCACACCAATTAACGTTATTTTCTTTGGATCACCTTTGAAATACTCAATATTATCGTATACCCAACGCAAAGCTAAGTTTTGGTCTTTCAATCCCATGTTACCAGGAATAACTGAATCTTCTGTACTCAAAAAACCGAACATACTAAGACGATAGCTAATACTCACTACGATGACATCTCGATCCATTAAAAAATGGGTTTCGGTCGGAGCTTTGCTGAACTGAAAAGCTCCACCATGAATTACAAACAAAACTGGTAACGACTTCGCTTTAACCGGTACGTAAATGTTGAGATACAAACAATCTTCTTCTCCAGTCACTCGATCTTGAACCCAATTGTGAGGTAAGTGTTCGTATTGAATGCAAGCAGCCGCTGGACTTGTGGCTGTAATATTGCCAGCCCATTTTTTAATAGGAATAGGAGGCTATAAAAGAAATAAAACTGTTCAAATCTATTCAAATATCTTGGTCATTTCTATTCGCTAGAAATTAGAGAAATCTATTAGCAAATTAATCTCTATAAATAATACCTCGAAGCGTCTTTGCTGTACAGGTGGTACCGCATACGGTATTCCTTCGTAAGCTTCGTATTGCCTGCCATTTAACGAGTGTCGATATGTGCCAGTCACTCCACCTAATTGCGTTTGAATAAACGGTGTATTTCCATTCGTTGAAATTACTCCTACATAAAAGTTCAATAGTATTGAAAACGTTAATTGGAACATCTTTCGACAGAGAGTTTGTGGATACTGAAACTTCATTATGCCAAAATGGTGTTCATTCAATTGCAGATTAAATTATCTTTATTCAAACACATGTTTGCATGCCGATAACATTCCTGAAACGAGGTAAATCTCACCGCAGTCACAAAATTAAAAAAAATAAATTAAACCCGAGGATTCCGAAACTGTTGTGTATAGTGTCGAGTAAATCGGGCCTTCGGCATTCAAACCACAAGGCACTTCCACAACCTTTGATAAACAAATATCAACGTGTTTTGATATGTAAGGTGAAAACGAAAATTCAAATTACTTCGATATACTGACACGCTAAATTAAATGTCAAAACAATTCAATTTTTAAACTTCGTCGACCCTTTTCAAGCTTATCGTCGATAAATATATTGTAACGATAAAATATTCCATCACATATGTTAATAAACTGAGAAAATTATTGACGGAGTACGAAATCAAGAGTCACCTGAATTGAGAGTAAGCACGAACTAGTCACAAAGCTGCAGGCACGCTTGACACTCTGTACAATAACATGACAATTTTGAGCTTCGCCAAAACCTGTTCAACATTTTTTCAACTTACAAACATTTAATATCACTATTGCCATGAGCCAAACTGAAAGTGTACATTGTCACCTATCGCCTGAATAATACTGCATTTCATTGAATTAAACTTATAACGAAATAATAAAAATTTATAATTTATGACATAGTATAATTATTCCGGATGCTCAGTCAAGGAACGAGGTTTTTTTTTGCAGGATCGCGAAAACCTCAAATATTGAGACATACGTGAAATTCATATTCGGGGTACAGTCAGTCCTCCCGCGTTAAATGCGTTGATGGACCAGTGACAAAATTTTTATCGCACGACCACCTAAATGGGATTGGGCACTGTCGGACAAGTTGGATACAAAAACTTGAGCGAAGCCTACGTCTCGCACATAAAGTCCAAAGCAGATGTGCAAACGATCTGTAGCCGTACTGTGAGGCCATAAATAACGCGAGCGGCATGCGGTGAGTAGAATTAAGTTGTCAACGGAGAATAGCAAGGCGTAGTGATAATATTGTAACGAGAAAAACGAAGCATCGATGATTATCAGCGACCGAAGATGATCTCACGGGGATTCGCGAGACGGCAATAATGGCCGGCAATGCCCCTCCTTGCGTTGCCCGTGAATCAAAGGTATGCGCTAAAACTCATCGCAGAGTCGCTACCACTACCATGGCTAAAGAAGTCGTCCACGTGGCAACTCGGAATTTCGAAAGAAGAAGGCAGCCATCGAGCCGCCATGAAAGCCAAGTCGCAAGACTCGGAAGAGCAGAAGCATGGCAGATCATGTGAAAACGAAAGTAGGGCACGAGAAGTTGCATCCGCGCCTTCCGTGGGCCTTCGAGGCCACGAACGAGGAGAAAACCCGCAAGAGAGAGGGAAATTTCATCGACGGCCGCCCGGAGTTTCTCTCCTTGGGCACACCCGGGTAGACGAGCAGGCTAGCTATGATCCTCTATCAGCTGTGAGTTGCTTGAGCTAGACATCTTCTAGAAGCAGCAGATTTTCTGTTCGTAATTAGTTGCAATTAGCTCGCATTTATACAGCCATCTTTAGAGTTATTATGTGTTTAAAATTAATTTGTTGTTAATTAGTGTTAATCCATTATTTTTAATTTTATATTTAATTACTAGTTCTTTAACTTTCCTGTCATTTCAGTGTTGAATTCAGAGTTCAATTTGTCTTTCGCAGGTCTAATTAATTGTTTCAATTTGAATCTTGACAATATAACTAAAAGTTCAATCACAGCGTTACTTATTACCTCTTTATATCTCATCCTAACCAACAATCCAGATTAGATTTAAATAACGTCACATTTCGTATCAAATAATTCAAAAATCGAGAAGTAAAAACTCACAATTTTTCAAACTCGCGCACTCAATTAAGTAAGACGTACGTTACAACTTCCGATTTGACGACGATAATAAAAGAGAGATGACAAGTTGACAAAAAGCTTTTGAAATGTATGAAATGGGGATGGTGCAGTTAACATAACAAGATTAGTTCTGCGCAGCGTCCGTGAAGTTTTGTGAAGTCTACTCGCGTAGCGAGAGTTGCTCTCGTAGAATATAACTTCGATCGAGTCAACAGAAGTATTCAACTATTATGCGCTACGTCAACTTCATTTAAAATGTAACGCCCAAGCCATTGGAAAATACGACGTTCGATCTCCGAGTGATATATACAACTTCTAAAGTAAATATCAATCATTGTCATTCACGTGGTACACGTTTGCGATCTAACTTTGTTAAATTGAATTGTACGAGAAACTTTTAACAGCGAATTCGCGTTTACATTTATAAATTGCTTTTTAAAAGCTACGTACGTGATTATCGTAAAAGTAGACAATTATAATATAATGAAACGAAGTAAGCATATGAGTAACAAAATTAAATATTAAAAATATGCGTTTCAAGCAGGTAAACATTGGCTAATAACGGTGGCGAGTATTACCGATTAGCGCCTCCAACTCGCCGGCAACTGAGAGTTTCTCTCTCCGGTGGTACATTCAAACAGACAACAACTACGTAAACTCCCGTTCACTGATCACTTGAAAGCCACTTCCGTGAAAGGCAATTCCAAGGGCCGATTCGCGAAAGCGAGCCTACTCAATTTCCTTGCGGAGAGAAACTTGCCTCGCAAAGTCACGATTTCAATGTGAAAGCTCGGCGAACAAAAAAAAATAAATAAAAGTTTGCCCGCAGCAAGGGAAAGAAAACAAATATTGCAGCTGCTTGATAATTCGCTATTTTTACGAGCGAAAAATTTGTAGTAATTGTGAGTGCGAACGTCCGGAATTAGCTCGTCCTCGTAAAAATATTATCGCTCGAGTTTATGCTATGCATAAAACGCGTGAGCTGCGACGCTAAAAAGTGTTCTTTCCAAGTTCGACGGCTGAGCATAAGTTATGTGTGTGCGCTACGAGTATAGACAGAATTGTTACATTGCGAGGGGAGAGTGAAAAGTGCCACCGTCGTTGTTGGTACGTAACTATACGATCTTTCGGAGCTTGACAGTTTGCTGATTGTAAAAAGCTTCTAGAGTGAAAATTTTCAAACTATAACCTGTCACGTGAACTTTGTACTTTTTTTTTAATTGTCTGAACAATGCACGATTTGATGAATGAGGTAAATTACGATATCAATTACTAAAAATAATGTTATCCTTAGCAGTATACATCTGATATTGTACAAACAACACAGAATTTTTTCATAAATTAAATAAATTTATATCATATCTTACAAAACGAAAGGTTTTCGAGTAAATGGAAAAAATAAAGCAATAAGAAAATCGGACATCGTTGTAAAAAAATCGGTAGGCTTGAATAAATTGCATCAAATATGTATCTCACGCCATTAGCGAATTGACAAACTCCCGGATACTTCTAAAGAAATACAAGCGCTAATAAAGGGAGGAGCCCATTTTCATGAAGAGCACTAGAGCCAGAAATTGAGTGCGCGCATGAACAAATAATACAAAGAACTTTCCGTACTTTTAATGCGACAACAGCAATAAGAGAGCGATGAAAATGCTGATATAAATTGTAGGCCTTGCAATGGAAATTCGTTATCACGCGTACACGGCGGTTGAAAAAACAACTATTGAGAACACAATTTACACAAAATAAAAAAATTAAATAATAAAAGGAGAGAATTATTGTCTACCACTGGATAGGTTTTAATTTTTTTCTGTTCGCTACTAAAATTTTTTTAATAAAATTCGACATATGGAATGTACTCATCTTTTGTTTTTGTTTTCATTCCAAAAATTCTTCTTTTTATTTTTTTAGCATTTCGTTATAGTGATTTTTAATGCTCAAAGTTATATACATTAATCAATTACAGTAAATTTGTTATCTTAAATAGAAATCGTAGAAATGGAAGTTCTTTTGACATTTGATTAGAGAGAGATTTTTAGCGAAGAGCTATTCGTTCGTTCCAGCAATATTTATTGCAATCCTTCCATTTATTGAATTTGCAAACTACATTGTTGCAGAAAACAAGTAAATAGATATATTTTTAACGAAAACTTTTTAATTATTTTAAATTTTGTTTCGCAGTTACAGTCGATGTAAAAAGCGCGTTACATGCAGCTCTACTTAATACAATTCACTTAATAACGTTCGACCAGAAAATCCAGGAGGAGCTAATGACAAAACACACTTTGACGATAGAGAAAGCGATAAAATTAAAAAAGGAAGAAGATAACAAAGAAAAGAGAAACGAAGTGGAAAATAAGTGCAAGAGACAGTTGAGATAGTGCACAGCCTCAAGAATGTTCGAAGATTAATCACCTGCGACCGTGGGACGACGTGGCGTCTTCTTAACGACAAGGAGAGGTTGCAGCAGCGAAAGTGCGAGCAGCGAAAAGGGACAGGTTAAGTAAGCGCCTCGTGTCAGCACTTTATCGGATATGTCGTCGTCGAGTCAATCGACTCCGATGGGTTTTAAAACGGAAAATGGCAAAATCCAGAAACTAAGATTTTACGATGAAGCATTTACATTATACTTAGTTAGGTTTTCGTCAATTCCTTTAGCAAATATTTTAGCTTCGTATATAAATAGTGTAGCCAAAGATGAGAGTCCTCGAGTGGAAAACTTATTCGTTCAGTTTGTAAAATATTATAATATCAATGTAATTACGAATACTTTTGAATAAACCTCCAGATAATTGTGAAACATAAAGAATTTTTATTTCAGTAATTTAAAATCGTCATTTTATTTGAACGAGTTTAAAACATCTTTGAAATAAATTTTGCCCGAAAACAGAAAAAATAATTATTCTCATTACTAAAGATATAATTACTCGATCAAAGAAATTATTAAATAAATAGAAATAAATTTGACTTTAAAAATACATACACAGTAATTGTGCATGTATGTATAAAAAAGATTCGACAAAAATCCACAAAAACTGTATGAATATACTCGAAGAATAATCGCAATAAACCTCATGAAAAAAAAGGCTGCATCGCGC